TTGTGGGAACCAGTGGTGCATTCTCTTAGATCTCCTGAGTTGGGTGCTCTAGGAATGCCCCTTGAGTTACTTGAGTTCTCCTGTTTGTAACTGGGTCTTGAATGTTGTCGTCCCATTCAAGGATGAAATCTCTCCTCTCAGGCTGGCTTCATTTACTCTTTAAAGCTACTTTACATTCTATATGTCACGTTAAAAAAGTAAATCCAATTAGAATTAGTTTGGAAATTGTAAAAAATCAACATGTCAATTTAAAAATTCTGCCATCTTGCTTTGCTGTTATGGCTGAGAGGTTGAGTGACAACCTATGAACCAGGGGGTTGTGGTTTGATTCCTGGTCAAGGAACATGCCCGGGTTACGGACTCCACCCAAGTGGGGGAGCATGCAGGATGCAGCCGGTCAATTATTCTCTCTCATCATTGATGTTCCTCCCCCCTCCTCTCTTAAATCAATTAAAAAATAATTAAAAAAAAAAATTTTGTCATCTTATCCTGGCCAAGTAGCTTAGTTGGTTGGAGCATCATCCTGATGTACCAAGGTTTCGTGTTTGATCTCTGGTGAGGGCACATACAAGAATCAAACAATGATGCTTGGCTGGCATGGCATGGTATGGCTCAGTGGTTGAGTGAGGTCACGGTTTGATTTCCAGTCAGGGTACATGCTCAGGGTTGCGGGTTTGATCCCCAGTGTGGAATGTATAGCCAATCAATGATTCTCTCTTATCATTGATGTTTGTACCTCTCCCTCTCCCTTCCTCTCTGAGGAAATATATTAAAAAAAGAAAAAAGAACCAGCCAATGAATGCAAAAATAAGTAGAATAGCAAAATTGATGCTTCTTTCTCTCTTCCTTTATCAAAATCAATTAAAATTTTTTAAAATAAAAATTCTATAATCTTTGTAACACTAGTTCTTCCTCCATACCCTCCCCCCTTGCAGGAAATGACATATTTTTCTTTTTATTCAGATCTTCATCATCATCAGTAAAATTTTAAGTTGACAATATGATCACAATATTCTTCATCTGTAAGAGTAAGATAAAAATTCTTTCTGTCTCAGAGAGGCCAGGAAGGTTGAATTATTAGTACATTTCATGGCACATGTTACATGCTCTACAAAGGTTAAATATTGTTTGTTATGGTTATTCACATACATTTTGAACTGATTTTTATTGCTTGTCCCAAGGCATTTGATACTGTTCTAAAAATGAGATCATTTTTATCAATTCTTTTCTAACGCTCATCGAGCAGAAACCTACTGATTTGTACATCTTTAATTTGCAATCAGCCACATCACTGACCACTTTTCTAGGTGAACAATCATGATGTTGTTTCAAACAGTGAGTGATAAGTTCTGCCTTTCTTTCCTAATATTTATACTTATATCTGTATTTGGTCTATAATTTCTTTGAAATTCCACTTTCTGGTTTAAATAGGTCGTCTAGCCCTGTAGAATGAAATAGGAACATCTAGATATATTTTTATAAATAAATTAAAGGAGTTAACTATTTTGAAGTTCCTATAAACTTTGAAAATTTTCTATACTATGTGCTTTTGGAAGGTAGATTTCTGAGTATCCTTTCAAGATCTGGGGATTATTAATCTGTCGAATGCTTACTGATTCCTGAGTTATTTACACTTACTTATATTTTCCTAATAGGATAAAGTAGTAAAAGAACAGTGATATACTTAAAAGCATTTTATGTTTATTATGTAAGCATTTAACACAAATTTATAAATTATTTTTGTCTTAGAAAGCAAGCATGGGTACACTGAGGCCTTGCATGTCTACAAATGCATTTGTCACCACAGTTAAATATCAACTTGGCTAACACAGAAGTCTATATTAAAAACCCAAATCCCTTAGAACTGTTATTTTTCCATCATGAAATGAAGATGAATATCCATTCATCAAATATTTAGTAAGAAGCCTCTGTGTGTGTGGTACTCCTCAAGAAACAGGAGATATAGTGGTAAACAAAGGAGACAAAAGATCCCTGTCCTGTGGAGCTGACATTATAGCTATGAAGGAGAAGGGGTGGTCAACAAACACATAACTACAATATATAATGCATCAGATGCTGAGAAGGGCAAAGTAAAGCTGGGCAAGGGACAGGGAGAGCTATGTGACTAGTCAAGGAAGAGTGGTCTGGGTCTTGCTGCAGATCTTGGAAAATAAGGAGAGGTACCTCAGTCACTGACTGAAGGGCTAGGCTCTCTCTCTGTTTCCTTTTTCTATATCTTGGCCTTGTCATCTTCACTGTGCTGTTCTAGTACTCTCATGTGTTCAAAATGATTTTATAATATTTTGTCTAAGTAGCACAAAAATATGTATTTTTAATCTTCATCTGAGGATATGTTTTCATTGATTTCAGAGAGGAGAAGGTGGTGGGCAGGAGGAAGAGAGAGAAATATCTATTAGCATGCACTCCGACAGGGTATTGAACCGGAAACCTTTTGGTGTATATACAAAGCTCTCTACTGAGCTACCCTGCCAGCCCCCTCCCCCACTACACATACACACACACACACACACACACACACACACACACACACACACACACTAATTGCAGAGAGAGAGAGAGAGGAAGAGAAAGAGAGAAACATTAATGAAAGTCTTTGATCAGCTGCTTCCTTTCATGCCCCACACTGGGGATGGAGCCTGTAAGCCAGGCATATGCCCTGACCAGGAACCAAACCACAACCTTCTGCTTGTGGCTCAACCTCTGAGCCACGTAGGCCAGGTCCAAAATACTTTCTTAAGTACAATTTGTTGCAGGTACTATAGTGGAGGGGTGGAGCGGATTAAGTATGTGGATTCAGACTCAAACTGATTTTAAATCCTAGTTATGCTCTTTTCTAATTTTGTTACTTTGGCTAATTTAATATCTGTATATATGGTTCTCTCATCTGTAAAATTGAGGATAATAAAAGTAACTTCATAGTATTGTCCTGAAGACTAAATATTTGATGTTAAGTGCTTAGACCAGTGCCTAGACAGTAAGTATTAGCTATATTTTTCTTACTGTATCCTTATCAGAACTTAAAATACCACTATTCTGTCTTCTCAGTCTCTTACTTTCTTGTAGTTGGTTACCTTCATTTCAATCCCTTTTCCAGATAATGAAAAATACCTTAAAAGTTGGGTTCAAGACTTTCCATGTTAAGAAATATACATAGACTGTTTCTTAATAAACAAGCATTACCTTAATCCAATTTCTCCAATTAAATTTCAGTTTGGCTAAGAAAAAAAAACATAAAAAAGCCCACGCTAATAAATAAGTAAATAAATAAATAAATAGCACTGTATTTTCATACCATATAGAAGGAAATGGTGGTGCCAAATTGTTATCTAATAATTATATGTCAAAGGGAATTGTGCTAATGCTTTACACATAATTTAATCCTCACAACTAACTATCCCACTTCACAGTTGGGGTTGCTGAGGTTCAGAATGTTTCCCAAGAGTAGGTAACTACTTAAGCGTCAGGATTAAACCAACGCTTGTTTGATATTTTAGTCTCCCAAATTTTACTTGGACTAGTTAAAGATTTGAGAAAATAAAAATCAGACTACTAAGTCAATTTTTACCACTTAGTCTAACATTCCTAACTCTGCATGTACTTGCTTTCAAATTCAATTACCTAGTGTTTGCTAACTGCAAGACAATCTGAAAAAATATAAAGAAAAAAAGCATTCCTTGCTCTCAAAAAGCTTACTGGAAGAACATAATGAACAAACAATCCCACTGTGTTACAGAAGAGCAAAGCACTGAGTTGAAAATGAAGCACTTTAAATAGTCTTAGTTTGCTTTTTTTAAAAGACCCCTCTTACTGATGTTTGGTGATAGAGAACAAAGGGAGGGAAATATTTTCATATGGATCTGTCCATTATATCAACCTTGCCTGAAACCAACTATTCATTCAGTGTTGAGGGCTGCGAATTTTTACTTAAAACTCAGGTATCATTAAGAAATACTTATTAAAACAACGTCTCGACCAGAAGGGAGGGCAAAACAGCCGTCTTCGGGGAGAAATCAGAGCGACTAGGTAACTGGCCTGTGCAGGGCAGGAAAGGAGCACCAGTCTTACCGACTACAGAGAACAAAGACTACTATTCCCAACCTATTTCACTACTGAAGCAAAAACAAACAAATAAAAAAGACCAAGCCTTTCAGGTGCATGCATCGTGCCACTTCCTTAATGTCTGTCCATCTCGCTGGGGAACGTCATGCAACCACCTTTACCACCCTCTACCCCATGTTCACTGCTTTGGGGGTTATTTTTCTCCTCGAAGGACGGCGAACACACGTAGTAAAACAAAGGTGTCCAGTCTTCCGGCTCTGTAATTACTTTATGTGCCGAAATCAGAAATCTGATTAGGAAAACCTTAAGCGCCGATTCCCACAGGTTGCTCCTCCTGCCGGGGAGAAACTTAAGCTCATCAACCGCTCAGTCCGTCCGGGACCCAGCGACCTCGGCGCGCTGGACAGGGCACTCCGGCCTCACCCCGCCTTCCCTCCGCCCGCCCTCCCTCCCTCCCTCCCTCCCACGGTCCCTTCCTGCTCTGGCCGCCTTCACCTCCTACACCCTCAGCCGAGGCGCCTACCGCTACCCACGGTCAGAAAAGCTCTCCCTTTGGGGGAAGGGGAGTTAAAGGTTCGTTTCTGGAAGCATCTGAGCACTCGGGGCCTGGGGCAGCTGCCAGAGTGGGAGGGGGAAGGGTCGGTAAGGGGGCGGGACCTCAGCACGACCCCTCCGCCTCTGGGCGCCCAGAGATCCCTAAGTCCCCCCCGGGCCGCCACTGCAGCCCAGGCGTTCCCCTTCGCCCCCTCGGCGGGATGGGGGCGTGAGATCCAGGCTCCCGAGGATGATGAGGACGAGACGAGGGGAGCTCGCTGCTGCCTCGGTCGGTCTCCAGGGGGCGGGAAGCACGGGGAACAAAGCCGCTGGCCACCCATGCTCCCGGGCGACCCCGAAGGACCAGCAGCAGGGAGGCCGCTTACCTGCCGTCAGCAGCTGCATGGCGTGAGTGAAGGACGGGTCGAGCGAGTCCTTCTCGGCCAGGAGTTCGGGCAGATACTTGTTCTCCGGCTCCATCTTGACGGAGGCAGTGGCCGAGGGGGGCAGCAGCGGGGTCGGCGCCGGACCGCCCACCGTCGCGTCGGGACCTGTGGCCGAGGGCGGCAGCAGCGGCGGCGGCTGCGTGGCGGGCGAGGCCCGGGCCGCCCCCCGGGACCCTCCTCCGCCCCCCCGGGACCGGTGAGGCAGCGGCGGCTGCCGAGACGGTGCCTGACGCACCGAGGGGTGGGCACCCGAGGGGTCCATGGAGCCGCTGCGGCCCGAGGACCGGCTCATGCGCGCGGCGGGGTCGTCCCGGCGCTGCATCGGGGAGGATGGGCGATCGAGGAAGCGAGAGAGCGACGCGGCGGCGGCGGAGGCCTCGGAGGCGGTTGGCGGGGGTGGGAGAGCGGGAGCGACGCCGACCGAAGCCGACCCGAGCGACCCAGCGAAGGAGAGCACCGGAAATGAGGCGGCGCGCGTGCGCAGCTGGGCCCCGGCACCGCCCTTGGGCTTCTCGGCGGAGAACAAAGTCCCCAGTCGGGCCTCGGCGCCTGCGCACCGCCGCGGAACCCGGAGAAGGGGCCTTCCCGCTCCCCGCTCCCCGCCGAGCCCGCCAGGCTGGAGCCTCGTGCGCGTGCGCGGGCGGCCGCGGGCTCCTCCGTTCGTTTTCTCTCCCACGTGACTCGGCGCTAGCGGGACGCGCGTCTCCTCCCCCGGCGCGCGCAGGGGGCGGGGGCTGTGGAATGTCTTTGTCTGCGCGCGGCCGCCAGTGCGGGCGGAGGACCTGTTACTCCGGGGCCACGCCCCCCCCCCAAACGGTCCAGCCGCCCAGTGGGTCGGGGGGCGGTCACTGAACGGGTGGAAATGAAAAGAGACAAGCGTGGGGAACCGGGGGTGGAAGATACGGGGGAGGGGTGGCGGGAAGAAGGGAGAATTGAGGCTGGAAGGAGAGCCGGCCTGCCCTGGGAGAGGGGCGGAGAGGGTCCCGGGGAGGCCAGGGGAGAAGAAGGGGCAGCTAAGCCAGAGGCTGGCGCAAGGAGGAGGGGTGGAGACGGGGCGGTGGGAGATTGAAGTCCATTGGAAGACATGAACTAGGAGATCCGCAACAAAGTGGGATAAAGGCCAGTCCTTAATCATCCATGATGGTTGCATCATTAGGGCGACTCCTGCTGATGGGAGTGCTAGTCCTCCTGCCTCTGTTGGGCCCTTCATAATGGATTATTCCAAACTTGCTCAGGGAGCCCCTTACCACTGCTGTGGAGGCCAAGGTGCAGGAGCCTCCCCCATCATTCTCATCCCCGAGTGCTACATAGACACCAACGTGCGCCTTCTCTAACCTTTCCATCGTTTTTTTGTTTGTTTTGTTTTCCCTCATTCAAAGCAACTCCCCTTTTCCTTCTGGATCAGCTTCCCAAATATGCCCATGCAAAAGCATTTCTGAAAAAACGTCTTCTGGGTGCCTGGAAACTTGGTGTTTTGTTTTTTTTTTAATCTGGAGCTTAGACACCTTCAAGGAGGACACATTAAGGCCTGGCTACCTTTTGTGAGTGGGGGAAAGAAATCACCCACAGGAATTAGAACAAAACACTAGCCCATACTTATGTACATTATACAGATATATGTCCAGTGTCTGGTGCAGTACTTTGGGGTCTCAAAGGTAGTTTATAATGAAGTAGAATAAAAATGTTTTAAATAATTGTAACGAAAAGCTGGAATGTGACAAGATAAGCAAATATGAAGTGAGATTGGAGTTCATCGCACAAGATAGATTTCAGACAGGGAGAATGAGTTCCAGGCAAATGGAAATGTGAAAAAATGAGCAGAGATGAGACTGTCAGAGATACTTTCAAGGAGTAATCCAGTTTTGACTGTGAAGAAATAGTTGGGTTGAGACAGCAAATGCATGCAGGAGGGGAGAGGAGGCAAAGAGGATTTATAGCTCCCTTGCAATTCATTTCTGCCGCTACCCTTGAAAGTTCTGCCTGGATGGTGGTGTTACAAACGGCTGAAGTGTCCTTGCTCTGTAACGAGATGCCCAGATGGAGGTGCCCTGAGCTGAGCCTAATAAAACTTTGATAAAGAAGAGTCTGAGAAGGAGCTGGGTTTCTAGACCAGAATCAACATTCTCACAGGATGGCTGCCAAACTTGTACTCACTTCCACTGTGGAGGGAGGTTGGAGGGGGTGGGGGTAAACCCTTCCATGAGGGTAGGGAAGAATAATTCCTGTCCTGAGAGCTGAGTGGTCTGGAGTTCATTTGTGTTGACCAGCCAATGCTGACTCAGGCTCTCCTGAAACTACTAACAGTATGGCCTTGTGAAGACACTGACTTTGAAGTGAGGCAGACAAATTCAAATCCATCAATGCCTTGTCCTTGCTGTGTGTCATTAGGAAAAACCACAATCTATCCGAGCCTTCGTTTCCTTTTTCATAAAGTGGAGACAATGGCCGAAACCGGTTTGGCTCAGTGGTAGAGCTTCGGTCTGCGGACTGAAAGGTCCCAGGTTCGATTCAGGTCAGGGGCATGTATGTTGGTTGCGGGCACAACCCCAGTAGGGGGTGTGCAAGAGGCAGCTGGTCAATGTTTCTCATCAACGTTTCTAGCTATCTCTGTAAAAAATCAATAAAATATCTTTTAAAAAAAATAAAATAAAAAAGTGGAGACAATGACCTCTACCTTGCACAATTGTGAACATTAACAAGCACAGTGTAAACCTCTTGACACTAGGGCTTGTAAGCAGAAGTTATTAATCATTATTATAACATTTAGAGCCTAAGGAAGAGTTTTGGTTGCTCATGTCTGCTGTGGATCTGAAAGACCTGCTCTCTTATCTCTCACTATCACGGATTATAGCTAGACTTTGTTCTGGGGCTGGGAGGTTCCAAAAAGACTAAGTTTCTTGTACTCTATTTCCTTCCATAATCTAGTCACTATGGCCTAGAGTGCTGGAGCAATTGAGAACATTGTGATTCAGATGGAATTAGGGCCAAAGCTGGCTCTTCTGTTGCTTAATCTTGCACACCCTCTGTTTCCTCCTAGATAAGTCAGGGTTCCTAACTACCCCGGAACTGATATGATTAAATTTACAATCCTCTGTAAAGCACTAAGCACAGGAGCTGGCAATTAGTAGGTGCTTGATAACCAAAAGAAGCTATTGTTATTATTACTTCACGTGTGCATTGAGTACCTTATTTCAGGCTTTCACGTTCATGTGTGTCCTTAACATGCAGGCTGGATAGGATGGCAGTTTGCCTGACCTGTTTGATCACCATGGATCTGCCTCCCCTGCTTCGCAACTAGTTCCCAGGAGAAGGGCTCCAGCCCCAGGCAGGAGAGTTTGTCTTTCAAGGGTGTAGTTTACCTGTTCAATCTTAAACACCTACCTGGCGCCAAATATGTGGAGGATGGAGGACACAGGGAGACTTAGATTCAACATTTTAAAGTGTTTTTCTAAGATTTTTTTTTAATTACAAAAAATATACTTTTAGCTTTAAGAAAAATCCAACCATAATAAAGGCATAAAGTGAAAAGTAAAACTCCCCCCAAAACCTTGCCCACTTTCTTTAAAAAAAAAAAAAAATATATATATATATATATATATATATATATATATATATATAATTGATTTTTTACAGAGAGGAAAGGGGAGAGATAGTTAGAAATATCAATGAGAGAGAAACATCGACCAGCTGCCTCCTGCACACCCCCTACCGGGATGTGCTCTCATCCAATGTACATGCCCTTGACCGAAATCAAACCTGGGACCCTTCAGTCCACAGACGGACCCTCTATCCACTGAGCCAAACGTTGCCCATTTTCTTGACTGGCATTTTTTAAAGATGCTATTCAGGGGTTGCTTGTATATCTAGACATTTTAACACATCTGTATGCAAGTCTATCCTTTTTGTTTCAAACACACACTGTAGTATTTTATACAGTTTTTTAAAAAATTTGTTTTAAAATGAAATATCCTGGTCACTTTTCCTTGTCAGTATATATAGGTCTATAAGTCATGGTCAAAAAAATACTATGTTGAGCTCTTTTAAGTAGTTCACTTGTGATAGAAATATAGGTTGATTCCAATTTTTCAGTATTGCAAACCATACTGCAATGATCATCAGTCTACAGAACATCTTTGTGTATAATAGCAATATATCTATAGGATAATTCCTAGCAATAGCATAAAAGGGTTGCACCAAGCAGGAGGGTACACAGCATCCTCTTCTTCCACCCCCTCAATCAATTCTGGATACCCTCTTCCAATTTTTTTTTAGTTTTTATCAATGTAGTAGCTGAAATAGCATGAGGTACATCCTGGAATAGGAGAGTCCATGCTTTCAAGGAACTCACTGTTTAGTGGTAACAAATATGGAAACCAAGAGTTACCATGTAATAGTGTGAAAGCATTATAATAGAACGCAGCACAAATTGTGGGAATGCACAGGAAAGGGTGACTGACCAATTGCTGACATGAATTAGTGAAGCTGGGTCTTTGAGAAGTTGTCAGGTGGCGTGGAGGGGAGCCAGGGCATTTAAATGTTGGGAGTTCAGCAGAGCTTGGTCCCATGGCTATATATACTTCCTCCTCTAGTTGGGGACTCTGGAATTTAGATCTCTAACCTAAACTTCCTAGGTCCAAATCCGGATGCCCTGTGTATCCCTGCCTGGCACCCCCATTTGGATGTCTCAGAGACCCCTCAAACTCAATGTGTCCCCCATGGACCTCAAACAGTAGCCATTGGCAGTGCTGCTTCAGGACCCAGATGACTGACTGTATGTAGCTCAGGGCTTGGGAGAAACCCCTCTTTCAGAACCCAGGCCTGTTCTAGCACCTTGAGAACACCCAGGCCAGCAGAACTTTCAGAGGCATTTACTTTCAGAGCCATTCTCCTTTCTTGCCTCATTCTAGTCAGGAGTTGCTCTTAGCAATCCCACAGAAGACATCTTTGGTACCTTGTTTCCCCGAAAATAAGACATCCTCAGAAAATAAGACCTAGCGCATGGAAAAATAAGACATCCCCTGAAAATAAGATCTAGCGCATCTTTGGGAGCGAAAGTTAATAGAAGACACTGTCTTATTTTCGGGGAAACGGGATAGTAGCGATGAGCAGGGATGCGAGGGGATTGGAGCAGGGCTGGTGTGTCCAGTGATGTGGCCCTGTTGTTTTGTCCTATAAACCTCATGTGAAAAGTCCCTAGAAGTGTCCCCAAAACACTGGAAGGGGATTTTGCAGGGGCAGTAACAGAAACTCAGGATGATGAGTGTTCATGTGTGTGTGTGTTTTCATTCCACAGGCCGGTAAATTTCCATGATATTTGGGTTA